GTTAGGGTTGTCATATTTTTGTTTCCTCGATACATACATTGTTGGAGATCCCTTTTATTTATTTTACTTTTCTTTTTCTTTGTTTGGATTATTTGACACACCTTATAGGGTATTTAGCCCATTGTTTTCCACTATATTTTCTTATGACTTATATTTTTCACTCTATCTTTATATATATATATATATATATATATATATATATATATATATATATATATATATATATATATATATATATATATATATATATATATATATATATATATATATATATATATATATATATATATATATATATATATATATATATATATATATATATATATATATATATATATATATTATATATATATATATATATATATATGTTTTCTAATAAAAAAGTTTTACGTAGTTTTCAGTTTTGAATATTATTTTTTAAATCAAACGGTTTAGATTATAGGATAAATAAAATTAAATTAAAATGACGTCGATGATTAATTTGAGATTAGTCGATTAGTATCAGATTAGTCTATTAGTATCATATTAGTCTTGGAGATTGAAAATGTTGATGTATTTAATAAACCAGATTCATTTGTTCGAAACATTTAGCTCTGGTTGAAGAACAAGCTGGACACACAGATTAACTTCATCAATATCATATATTTCCATGCTTTGATGTCTGCCAATTGGTCCCCAAAGGCTTCTATGGTTATTGCAGCTTGTATTGTCAATGTTTTTTACCTGGTGTGGAGAGCCCGCAACATATCCAGATTCAAAGACAAGAAAATACATTGGAAAAGCTTCATAAACAACATTTCTGCACAGGCCAAACTTGTTGGAAATATCATTGATAAATGCTCAAATGCTTCCATCACTAATTTCACCCTTTTAAAGAAGTTTGATATCACCATTCATCCGGCCATATCTTTTTAAACTATTGATGTTTTATGGTCCCATCCTTTGATCAGTTGGATTAAGTGTAATATTAATGGGATTGCTACGGGTTCCCCGTCTCTTAGATCTTGTCGCTACTATAGAAAACCCATTTAACAATAGTTGAAAAACCCATATAATCACGCGGGTCCAGACGCTGTTGTGTAGAGTGTTGTTGTAAATGCGTCACTTACAATCACGGTCCTGGAACCGTTGTAGTATACTGGGAAGTTCGCATGATATCACAATGGTTAGTTAACTTAACAGTTATTGTATGTCTTTTAATAAAATAAAAAATAGCAGTAGAAGAACAATAACAGTAAGAACAACAAGAACAACAATAAGAACAACATGAACAACAATAACAACATGAACAACAACAAAAACAACAACAAGAACAAGAAGAACAACAACAAGAACAACAACAAGAACAACAAAAACAAGAAGAAGAACAACAACAAGAACAACAAAAACAAGAAGAAGAAGAAGAAGAAGAAGAAGAAGAAGAACAACAACAACAACAATAACAACAACAACAACATACAACAACAACAATAACAACAACAACAACAATAACAACAACAATAACAACAATAATAAAAACAAGAACAACTACAACAACAATAACTAAAAAAAGAACAATAAGAACAACAACAACTAACGTTGCTAACTTGAATCAATACTTTTCTTGTGTCAATCAAGATGGAGAATAGATGCTTTCGAGTTTTTCTTATGGAAGAAATGATATTTTCGAGCTTGGTTTAGTGGAGAAATAGAGTCTCGTAAATAAAAGATGATGTTTGAAGGTAGAAGATGAAGTTTGTCTAAGTTGGAAGTTTGTCTAAGTTTTAGGTTTCACGCGGATCGCTAACGGTGGTGTCCTGAGCGTTGATAGTCACTTGAATGACGATTGAGGTTTATTTAAGGATGGTGAAGAAACTCAATAATTACGCTACATACAACAACTATTGTATTAAATAACTGTTGTTGTATTTAATAAAATATAAAAAATGCAGCACTAGAAAAGCAACAACAGCAAGATTTGAACTCATGATCATGTGTGCTACATACAACAACGATTTTATTAAATATCCATTGTTATATGTCTTTTAATAAAATTTTAAAAATACAGCAGTAAAACAACAACAACATCAAAATTCAAATCATGATCATGCGTCACTTTTTACCATGGTTGGAATTTCCAACCATGGTGAAAAGTGGCTTAATTTTGAAAAGAAAAAAAAAATGCCTAATATAATATATTCTACCACAGTGGATCCTTTAACGTGGTGACTTAGATGTTGTTGTTTGCACATTTTGTAGTAGTGTGTGAGGGCATTTTCAGAGATGACAAAGCATGTCAAACTGATAATTTTTTTATTATCTCGGTGAAGGGAAAGTTGACAATGCCAGTTTTGTGCAGTTATGGTGGCTATTTAGAAAGCTAGAGAGCTTAGTTAGAAAAAGTTTTTTGTTGTCAATGCCTTCACTGATTCAAACCTTGTGTCTTGGAACATCAAATTTCATTGGCTTAATTGTTGGTCATACACGTACACTATATATATATATATATATATATATATATATATATATATATATATATATATATATATATATATATATATATATATATATATATATATATATATATATATATATATATATATATATATATATATATATATATATATATATATATATATATAGACACGGGGGGAAGCGAATTTTTGTGCTAATTTCCTTGTTAGCCTTGGTCTTTAAGTTTAGAACTTTTTCTTGACTTTCTTTTGTTCATAAAAATATGCTTAAAGATTTCTTATTTAACAAGGAAGATACCCCTAAACTTAAACTTCTATCTTACGGGGTCTTGGTTTCTTTGTTTAAAAAAAAATCCAACTTCATCTCATACCACAACCAATCTTTGCATGGTTTCCAAGAAAGCACTTCCCCATGTACAACCTACTCTAAGTTAGGTTTTGTCAAAGAATATTATGATAAAATCCTCATGCATTTTTACCCTACAGCTACAAACACCTTTACCTCTCCTCTCTCATAGATCTCACCCTATTTAATTATTCACACACGTCCCTATCTTTACCTATCAAATTTGTTTTCTTCACCCTATTCTCCAATGGGCCTACAACATTTTTTAACGATTATTTTTCTTTTTGGATTTGCAAAATCACAACCTACTATACACCCTTTTAACAATACTGATTTACAAGCAGCAATAGCTGACATGAGATCAAAATCTTTCTATGGATTTGCAATGCTTTTGCAGATGCTAAATGGAACATCACAACCAAGTAGGGAGATGACTTATTTAATGCCGGATGATAGAGAATTGTCTGCATCAACTATTTCAGCTAATGGCATTGAAGATTTCTTACTAAGTCATGCAATTCCTATGCCTTTATATTTCAATGATTTATCTCATTTTCCAACTGGTACACTTGTTCCTTCTGGAATGAACTCGAGAATGATTAGGATTCATAACCGTGGGAGAGGTGATTATTTTGTTAATAATGCGCAAATTGTTTCGGCTAATGTTTGTTTGAGCTCTGTCATCAAATGTCATGGAGTTGATGCAATAATTGAATATGATTGATTGGTTTATACTTGAGAAATATATTTATACATTGTGTAATGTTTCGTTTTCATAAAGGAATGTTTTGTTACTTGTATCTAACTCCCTATATGAAATAAAACCATTACTTTGTTTTGATTTTTTTTTTACTTACTTTTGTGTATATAATTTGTTTTGTGATATAGTTTAATGATTGAAAATTGATGGCTACATCCATATTGCAATATAATTTTTTTTTAAAATATGTTTGTCAATTTTTAACTTACCTATTAAACTGAATTAAAGAAAATGGATAATATAGTCAAATGCAACTAATATTAGAAAATGGAGGGTAATTAATTTTTTTTAAAATTGTAGACTTATTGATATGCGTAATATAGTTAAATTGTTGATTTTTTTTATAAATATTAAAATTTATTTATATTAAGAAATAAATATTAATTTTATATTAATATATAAATATAAATAAATATGATTAGATATTGAACATTAAATGTCTTCTTAGGCAAAATTTACTAGTATAACAACAAATAAAAATTATATTTAACTATGATTTAATTATGAGGATATTTTATTAAATTTTTATTTCATTAAGATTTAACTGTAATAAATTTGAATCTATTATAATTTGATTCCATATTTCAAAACAATATTAAAAATATATTACTTTTTGCAACACAAACACATTAGAATTGAAGTAGTTGGACTTTGTTAGGTAATCTCATATTCAAACAGACAGAAAAGACAGTTTTGGATTCATAGAACTTTGAAGACATCTTCATTGTTGTATTTTTTTGTAAATCAGGTTGCATGAAAACCGTTTACTTGTTTACAGGGATTTGTTTTCGCATGCATTATTTTTTATTTTTTTTATGCTTTTTGTTTTTACATTTGCACTTTCTCCTTCCTTCGTTATTTTGGAGTCATCTTATTACCCTGTGGAAATTTCCTTTATGGGCCATTTCCATGATCAATCACCATAATGAAATGATTACCTTTTGAAAAATATAAAAAACCAATAGGGCCAGGGTACATTATTACTAGTACTATATATTGTATGTTCCTTTTTTTAAGGAAATATAAAATAAAATAATTGGTGACAAACTGTAAAGAACTCATTGTAACAAAAAATACACTAACTATATTAATTTATAAACTGAAAAATTATGAAGAAACAAAAAACCAACCAAGAAAAAACAACATAGATGGTTCATACATATTATGTGACACCAAAATTTTAAACAACTCTCTTGTTCATGCCATTTCAAGCCATATGATATGATTTAATATTTTCTTAATACTATCACGTGATGATAATAGATCGCTAAAATGACAAACAATTACTGACCAGACATTACTTGTCTCATGGCAGAACCTTAAACCCTAAACTCAGAATTATCAGAGCTCCATCACATGCGAATCGGAGGGTTAGGACAATAAGAGTTTATTGTGTCACAAATCACAATCATGACTCACTAGACAATCATAAATGGAGCCTTTAGAGGTGAAGAGAAGTGTCAACACCGGAAACAGATGAAGAGTCACAATCATAACCATTCTTCCATGAATTAGCCTGCAAGTTTTGTGTATAACTTGTGGTGCATAAGTTCATTGAAACAGGACTCTTCAAACTTGTGTAATATTGATCATCTTGTTGTTTTACCTGTGATGATGTTGTTGGCCAAAGAGAAAGAGAAACATGAGGTGGTGAAGATCTTGATGGAATGATCAGTTCATGGTTGGAAGAAGACAATCTTGTTGTTGATTGATCATAAGTTTGTTGTTTTGGTTCATTCAGCATTCTCTTTAGCTCTCTCTCTTCCCTCATTTCTTTAACTCTTTCCAATTGTCTAAACCTCTCTTGTAAAAGTGCAATAGAAGAGTGAACAATAGTAGGGTCATGGTTTTCTCTTCCCATTATGATAGTGTAAGTCTAAGAGTTAAGAATGAATTGATATGGGAGTGTATATATAGGGTGATTGAAAATATTTTAAATATACAATAGGGTTATATGGTTAAGACTTTATAGTTTAATATCATATATTTTACTCTTAAGAATGAATTGACATAGGTCAGTATATATAGAGTGATGGAAAATATTTTAAATATGTACAGCACGTTACTTTTAACCTAAAAAAATTAGATTTTTTTTAAAATTAAATTCTTCTTTTTAAATTAAAATATTAATTTTAACATCTATTAATATAAATATATATATATATATATATATATTATTGAAAATTAAAATACACCCAAAGTAATATAATTTTTTTAAAATGATATATTTTAAAAATAATTTTTATAACAAATTATTTAAAATAGTTTTAAATTCAAATGACTTTTTGAAATATTTTTATAAAAAAACTGTTACTAAATGAAAAAATATCTAAAATAATATAACTATTTAAACTAATTTTTTATTTGAAACTCTTTTAAGCAAAAATACGTAACATCAAAAAATCATTTTTATAAAAAGTTGAAATAAATGGGCCTGTAATATAATCATATGGTTTATAGTTTAATATAATTTTTTGTATTTTATTCTTAATAAAATGATGAAATTTTAAAGGAAAATGTTTAATGTCCACTTCTTTTTTTATATACCAACTCGAAGGTTAGTTAATCACATCTAAAAATATAATTAATTCAGGTGAAAATATAATTAATTTAATTCACATTAAAAATATGGTTAATTTATGTGTTTGAATTAGTCACAATTTAAATTTTCAATTGAATTAATCTATCTATTTTATTAAATTATGAATATGTTTTCACATCATTAATTAACTACATAGTCGTAGGGTTGTAAAAGAAGAGATGTAGATATTAAATGATTTAAAAAAGGGAATGAGAATCGGCACGTAGGATGCAAAGTCCAAAAAGAAGATGTTGATTGGGCAATATCTAAGGTGTGTATGTGGGGGAAGAAGGCACGAGTATATCTCTCCCTTTTTTATGTACAATGAGGCAAAAGCAATCTTAAAGCAGAAAATGACTAGAAGTAAATGACAAAGGAATGTAGGAAGTAGCACATGGAAGGGTGTGTTTGGAGGAATAATAAGTCTGAGTGATGCTCTGCCAACATGTCTCTTAAACACTTCTTCAACTTTGGAGATGGTGGTGGACTCTTTTTGGTGTGCTTTTGTTTTGATGTTAACCTCATTTACTTTTTCCTTTTGCATTTAGTACTTCAATTTCTAGGACAATCTTAAATATGAGACTGAAATAGTTGCTTCAATCTTTAACTAGTTAGTTTGTTGGCAATGCCGTCTCATATTTTTGGAAATCTTGTATATGTTAGCCGCAATTTAATAAATAAATATTATTTGAATATTATATGAGATTTTATTTAGTCATGATATGATCATGACACATTTTAGATCACGTGTATCTAACATGTTTTCAAAGACACTCCTGAGTCAGTAAATTTAAAAAGAAATTTTTTATGACAAGTTAAAGTTTTCGATCTACTCCTCTCCTCTTTTATTCCGCCTTGTTTTCTTGCATGTTTTTGCAGGCTTAAATTGGTCAAGAATATTTAACAATACAACCGCAACGATCAAATCTTATTCCACTAAGTGAGATCTATAATATGGATCAACTTATATCATAATATTCTATCGAGAGCCATATTTTTATCCCAATTATTAATCTAAAAATCTTTCTTAATAAAGTTTCTTATAGTTTTCTTATATTTTCCTCTACCTCTAACTATTTAATTCTTCTCCATTTGATCTACACTTCTTAGTACATAATTGACATGTTTTCTTTCTACATGTCTAATCTACGTGAATCTATTTTTTACCAGTTTTTTACAATGGGTGCTACCCATCAAATGCATGGACATAATACAACTTTAATAAATATAGCAATGCAAATATCTTAATGATAAAAAAAGGTTTTACTTTTAGATTCATAGTGTTCAAATCTATAACTCTATAGTAATTTATTTCTAATATAATCCTAACTTTTTGCTTTTGTTGGGAGGAGGGAGGAGTTAAGGAATCGGGGGAAGTGTAATAGCAAAAAGACAAAGCAAGGGAGGAATAATCGTTGGAGTTCATCATGCTTTGATTGAACAATTATGTATGACAAAGACAAACATACCAACATTCTTCTCTCTCTCTTAATATCATCTCTATGCAACTTCTTTGTCTTCAAGTGTTTGGATCTGAATGGCATGCAGATATGAAAGCTGCAGATACCACTAATTACTTGGTTAGGATGCTTCTTTTATCAACCAAAAGTGCCCCCACCTCCTTATTTGTATTATTTTCTTTACAAAATATTTGAAATTTGAATGATTGAGATTAAATTAGACAAGGCATGCATTGTTAATTTTAATTTATTAACTTTTATAATTCATTATTTCGAAACTCTATTTCAACATACAAAAGTCAATATTATTAGGTTTAATACAATAATCAACATTTGAATCTTAAGCATTACGATAATAATTGTGCGTGTGAATTTTTAAGAGCATATGTTTTTTAAAAAGATGGGTATTTCGCTTCATAAAAACTAAAATTGGCCACGCTGTTGTGCAAAAGAAAAATAAGATCCATATATATATATATATATATATATATATATATATATATATATATATATATATATATATATATATATATATATATATATATATATATATATATATATATATATATATATATATATAATTTAATGAGATCTATTTAAAAAATCAAAATGAATGAATTACTTGAATGTTGATGTTTTAATAATTATTATCAATTCATTTACATATTAAAAAAATTCATTCGTAGTTAATTAAATTGAATAAAATTTAGTTGATGTTGGTGGAAGTGTATGAGTAATTTTGAGCAAATTAGCAACATACAAGCATAAAACGTTGATGGGTAATAACGGTCAAGGAACTAGATCTTAGAGGTTTGATTAGTTAGTGCTATGTTCTACTTGTGCTAACTTGTGCTATTTTATGTCCCATAAAGAGAAAAGCATTTGGAGCTTAGTGTGAATGGACGTTAATGCAACATCATAAAAGGGGTTTGGTGATTTCAAATAAAAAAGAAAAGGTCACACATCACATCAAAATAAATTATTAGTAATGACTTATTAGATTTTTTTTTAAATTGGGATTGACTACAATTTTGGAGGGAAGGTCCTGAAGGCTTGAGAATTTACATCCACGGAAACTAGTTAGTTTGATGGAGTAAGGATCACATCTACGATAAATTTACTTAACATAGAACGTTGATCTTTGAATTTATACATATTTATTTGGAATTGGTAAAATATGTATAACGTTAAAGGAATGTTTATAAGAATTTATGTTTACTATTTAAACTAACAAGATGCATCTTCCTTTTGGTATCTCATACTATAAGAGTTTCATTGTTAAATGTATTTGATTTGATGTATGATTAACCTTCTTAGGTGTTTTTTAGAAAGTGTATGAGTAAGACAAAGCACATCAAAAAGACTTGTATATATTGGTTTCCGTGGTTACTCATACTTACGGTCCTTGGAGTTTTTATATCTTATTTTGTTGTGGAACATACAATGAGTAGTGTATGGATGAAGACCAACGTAAAAAGGTCTTCCAACACGCTGGTTGGTCTCTCTGGTGATCAAATGGGGGATATCTACATGATTAGCACAACATCATTTAAGTCACCAAATAAAAGAGATGAAACTTGCAAGTAGTGAATTAATGTTGCTTGAGGTGACAAAGGGTCACCTTCTATATGGATGGTGGTTATAACCGTCATCAATAGATTTGGTGCGAGATGTGGGTTGTCGTCGGATGTACATCAACGATTGAGATGGAGGTGGTGCTCGGCTTCAATGTGGTGCATTAATACGGGTGTCTGTTGGTGTGCTAGTTCAATGAATGTCTCTTGTTGGATTGTGTCTTCTTTTGAGTTGGTATTAGTAGGCCAATTGGATAGCTCGGAATATATCTAGTTTCCCAACTACGTATGCACCATGGTTTTCAACAACGACCTCTTTCTAAATAGTCAAATAGGGCATTAGAAGTGTTCACTGTTAAACAAATGACTCCAAACATAAGAAGGGTGGTGAGTTTTGATATTCCGATTTTAAAAACTTTTTAGAAAAGCTTTTGATTTTGAAAAGGTTTATATTAAGAAGATGATAGAAGAAAATAATAATCAATGGAAAAGATAATATTGAGATAAATAAATAAATAGGGTAAGAGATCACACCGGCCTTAAAAAAATAGCCTACTTCAGTCCCCAATATGTTTCTCTTGAGATTTCTAATAACATAACTTGAGCTTTTACACTGTTTCAACTCAACAACCTTACACCAGTAACTTGAGCTTTTAACAAAGATCGACCCAACAACCATACACCACGATTTTTACATGTTAATCTTGCAATCTTAAAATCTATTATAAGATCATAAGAGAACTAAGCCTTAGATTATAAAAACTTAGCAGGAAAAAAAGACACAACTCTCAGATGAATCTTTTCACTCTATCATGACTAAGGCAATTTCTAGTGGATAAATTTTATAAAAGAATGATATATAATAAGATAGGATAGTTTATTATTCATAAAAAAATGTATGTTTAGAAGTGAGAAAAGAAATTATTTAAATAGGAAAAAAATTGGCTAAAAAATTCAATAATTAGTGGACTTGGTTTCTTCCTAATCAATTAGATCACCAACCTAATCGATTAGATTAACCCAGAAAATAAAACCCTAATTTTCAATGCCACTTAATCAATTACAAGGCTATCTAATCAGTTAAGAGACGTTACTCTTGCTTTAATCGACCAGATTAAGTGACTAATCGATTATAATGTGAGTTTTAATTTCCAAATTGATTAGCATTACTTCTTAATAGATTAAATACTTTCAAGGATTGGTTTTAAGAAGTTTTTAAAAAATAATTGAAGGGTTTGAAATACTT